GGCTGTCCCCGTCACGGGCCGCTCACACCTGGCACTCCGGTCTCAAGCCCACCCTGAGCGGGGGCCTAGGCCGCCCCTTGCAGTGAGAAGCCTGCCAGTGTTTGTACCCATTTCTATCGAACTTCTTCAGTTTGACAAAGTGTCCACAGTGGGCACAGGCACAGGCATGCTGTCACGTGTCACCCTCACTCACTCCGCAGGGGAAGGCTCTAGGACCTTCCTTTCCAGAGCAGGACACTGAGGCACTGAGGGGCTGTGGACCAACCAAGTTTGCTGCAAGTGAGAGCAGAAACTGAGCTGAGAGCCGGACCCTTAACCGCCATTCGCCCTCCCTCATCAGCCCCCCCACCCCTCAGCCCTGCCCAGGAGGCCTCGGCTGGATTCTCGGGCTCCGGGCTCCAGTGTCCTGGCAACAAACAGGAGGCACCAGGAGAGGGCGTGGAGTGGCTGAGGGCATCGGCTCCAAGGGCATGGTCATGGGATGGGCAAGGGACAGCCCCCAGCCCAGAACTGGACTTGGCACACCTACCCCTCCCCACGTACAGGGAGCTGCCTGGGAGGGAGGCCCCTCCCCAGCCCTCCCAGCACAGAGGCCCAGGCGACCCCGTCAGCGCAGCCCCCACACCCCCAGGTGAAGACACTGGAGGGGGAGAACCAGAGGAAGAGCCAAGAGGTGATCCAGCTGCAGGTCCAGGGCGCACAGGACGCACAGCAGCAGCAGCAGAGCCGGCAGCAGGCTCTGGAGCTGCAGAGGCTGGTGGCTGAGGCGGAGGCTGCCAGAGAGGGCGCCCAGAGGGAGGTAGGAACCGAGCACCCCAGGACTGATGGTCTAACCAGGGCTCCGTGGCCTCGACCTGGGGCCCCGGCTGCCTCCATCCCCAACCAGCCCGCTTCCTGAGGGACCGTCGTGTCTCCGTCTGTTCCCCCGTTCACTCACAAGCATTCAGAGGGTCCCTCGCGTGACTCCATGGAGGGCCATCCTGGGGGCTGGGAGCACAGGTCAGGCCGCGGCTGGGGTCTGCGGCTGGGGATGCTGGGCTGCTGGCTGCAGAGGGGCAGCCGGGCTGGGGAGGGCAGGGAGGGGAACACGGCCCAGGGGAGGATCTGTGGGGTGAAATGAGAAGGGAGGAACTGTGGCCTGGGACACGGGAGGCAGGAGGACGGCCGTGTGGAGCCTCGCCCCACCCTCAGCCTGCGTGTGCTGGGACTGGGGGGGCTTGGGGGCAGGGTGCTGCTTTACCCATGTGGAAGCCCATGTGGGGTGTCAGGCAGCCTGAGGTTCCCCAGCCCTGGACTCAGGGTGACAGACTGCGAGCAGTGACAGACAAGCAGGGAACTGACCAGAGGGTGGGCCCCATGCCGGCCACAGGAGGGGACAGCCTGGGGCCATTGCCCTGTCTTGCCAGGGTCCTGTGGCTGCCCGTTGGGCTGTCTGCTCAGGCCACCCTGTCTCTGCTCCGTGGTCCTGGGTGTCCCTCCCTCTCTGGGCTCAGGTGTCCCCATGCCAGACATGAGCTGGGAGGCAGGTCCAGTGTCCCCCGAGCTGTGACATGCCGAGGAAAGGGTGAGGCCAAGAGGCCCTCTGTCTGGAGCCCCCACACCCCTCCCCCAGGTCCTGAGGCTGCAGCAGGCGCTGGCGGAGGTGGAGGCACGAGGCGAGTCCCGGGAGAAGCAGCTGGAGCAGCGCCTCTGTGAGAGCCGGCGGGCGGAGCAGACCCTCCAGGCCGAGCTGCACAGTGTCATTAGGAAGCTGCAGCAGGCCCGAGGCGTGGCCGGCGGCCTCCGGGCTCGCCTGGACGTGGCCGGCCACCAGGCCCGCAGCCTTGAGCAGGAGCTGGCCCGGGCCGAGGGCGCCAGGAGGGATGCGGAGGGCCAGCTGGGCCGGCTGTGGTCCGCGCTCCGCCTCGGCCTGGGGCTCCGGACACAGAGCCCCTCCGGCTCCCCTGAGCGGCCGGGCTCCCCCACCAAAGGTCAGCGTCCCCGGTGGCTTCAGGCGGGCTCCTGTCCCAGCTCTGTCTCCTTCCTGGGGCACCCCCACCTCTCCCCAGGGCTCAGGACCCCATAGTGAGGGGCCTGGACCCCGTGCCTCTCCCCAAGCTCCCTGTGGACCAGGCATCTGCCTGTTGGTCACCGAGTCCCCACCACATCCCCTCAGTCGTCAGTGTCTTCCAGGCTCAGACGGCTCCCGGAGTGCCAGCCCCCCAGCCCGGTCCCGCTCGCCCCTTCGATGGCCCTCGCCTGAACCAGGAGACCAGAGCACAGAGGTGGCCGTGGCCTCCGTGCAGGGCGCCCTGAGGGACTTCATGCAGAAGCTACGGGACGCCCAGCGGGAGCGGGTGAGGGGGGCAGGGAGGACAAGCCTCAAGGGGCCCGGGGAGATGGGGAGGAGCCACTCACTCAGTCTGCTGTCCTGCTGTCTGTCCATCTGGGATCTGCTGGGACCCTAGCAGGACCCCATGGGGCACTGGGCGCCTGTGTCCAGCCCATCCTTCGTTTGATGGGATAAATACCAAATGCCAGTCCCTTGAAACCCGGCCGCCCCGTGGCCCAGGGCCCCGCCCCCTCAGGCCAGACAGCAGCGCCTGTGCCCTGAAGAACCGTCCCAGGGCCGGCAGGTCGCCCACAGAGAGCCCCCAGCGATCCCTCACACGGGGACCCAGCGCCCATCCTGCTGCCGCAGGGCGCCCCCAGAGCAGCCTGTGAGCTGCCCCCCAGACTTGCCACGCGGGAGGGGCTTTGGGGAAAGACAGACGGACAGTCACTCAGCCCTGGTCCGGGG